TGGCGATCGACCCCGTGAGGGGTCGACTCTGTCCTCTCGGCCTCGACGGACGCAGATCGCGCTATTTTTCCTGTCTGCACATGTCGGTCAGACACAACTCGGAAGCTAAAAAATCAGTTGAAATGTCAGATCCCCGATTTGTCTGTCTAGAAAACGAAACACAGAGCGACACATACCACACCCGTTCTTGACAACAGCAAGCGGTCAAGTGTGAAAAAAACCGAAGCGCAAGAAAACAAAAGAGTGACGGTTTCGAAAAAACGAACGCGCAAGAAAACAAAAGAGTGACGTCCGTGAGAATGATGGTCGGCGCTCGATATAAAAAACGTCGGGTCCCTTTTTATATGGAACCTAAAAATCGAACTGTTCGCAGCAATACGAGAGGATTGTTCCGGTTTCGCGCGCTTTTATCCGTAAGTAAACGTTAACTGTCAAGCAAAGCGAGGAACAGTAAACCTATACTCGATATCATATCGTCGAATAAACAATCACATGTCACTCAGTTTATAATGACTGTATGACATGTCTCGTAAGCCATTAAAGGCCATACAGTAAAGGTTAACCTGGTTGCGGGTAAATGTTTACCGGGGAATGTTAAGGAGTGAACATTTACTCGCAACCATCAACTCGACACCGGGTAAATGTTTACCCAGGAATGTTAAGGAGTAAACATTTACACGCAACCATCAACTCGACACCGAGTAAATGTTAATCTGCTTGCGAGTAAATGTTTACTCAGGAATTTTACCGAGTAAACATTTACTGTAAGCAGCGTTGTAACTGTAATTTGTCCTTTGTTTTAATTTAACGTCTCTTTACTTACAGCATCGGTGTATGCCGTTTGTTTAACTTAATGTGTACCTTATCATATACCTTACATCTTTATTTACAACAGAGCTAAGACCCGCCTTCATGGCCACCAATATAAAAATATCTTGCGTTGTACTGTAGTTCACTGCCGACAAATCAACTAATTTACAGTACTTTGGGTCTGGAATAAGGTAAAAATAAACTCCAATCTCATCATCGCTTTCGGCCATCACCAATCACATCGACAACTGCCCTTTGACGCAAGTCGCCGACAATACAGAGTAAAATCACGATAGAGTGAGAGCATCCCCACCGGTAGAATCAAATACCCAAACAACCAAAATTTGATGATTTGATGTCGATTGAAATCCCCACCGGTGCAACCAAATCATCAAATGTTTGGTGTCGATTTAAAAATCGGAACCAAATATCAAGAATTTGGTTCGGATAGTCTCTGTTTGATTACCCTTGACAATCCAGTTGTGCACGTTCTATTGGTCGACCGAAACGGCTTCCCACCAAAAAGTGCATCGATGCGGTATTTGCCTCGAGATTACCAGTGTCTCCCGCCGATCCAGAATGCTCACTACGGCGTGCATGCTTTTCCCCCTTCCATCCCTCCAGAACGTCGACGGCCCCGCCATCCCTGATGCTCTTCCCCCTTCCATCCCTCCAGAACGTCGACGGCCCCGCCATCCCTGAGCGCGTCCTTCCCCGCCCGGCTCTTACACAACAACAACACTTCCTCGACCAACCAGGCGCGAATCTCCGCCATCTCCTCCCGTCCCACCTCCTTTGACCTCCCCAAGCACATTGCGACCGCCGCCGTACCCCCACCAACACATCATGGCACTCGTCCGCCATCGCGCAGTTCCGCACCCAGCTCGCCCCCGCCAGCCTCTTCTCTGCCTCCCCCGCCTCCAGCAATCTCAGCAACCTCGTCAACAGCTGTCTCTCCGCCTGCCTTCCCTCGACCAACAGGACGTCCCTCCCCTCCTGGCTCGCGCACGCATTCGACAGCCGCAGCACATTCGGAATACTCGGTACCCTCTCCACGAGCACGAGTAGCGTGCCCCTCTCCCGAAACCCGTCCGCGCCCTCCGCTTCGTCCACGCCCGGCGCGAAGCGCGTCAGGTTGGACAGCAGCGCCGCGTGCAGCGCGACGACGTCCGCGTCCAGGACCACCTGCGCTGCGAGCCGCACCGCGTCCGCGTGCGTCAGGGCCGCCGGCTCCTCGTCCTCCGACAGGTTCACAAGCGCAGACAGTGCTAGCGCAGTGCGATTCGCTGCTCAGCAGCAGCAGCCGCCGCAGGAGAACGTCGCTCGCGGCTGTCGAGCCAATCATCCGCCGCAGCACCGCTGCCGCCGGCGCGTATGTTCTCTCCGGGATCGCGCTGCTCGCGGTCGCGTGGGGAGCGCGTGCTGTCCGTGAGCAGGGAGGACAGCGCCGGCAGTCTGTCTTTGTCCACGGTGGAGGTGAGAGGGAAGGAGTGCAGACAGAGTGGCGAGGGAGAAGGTCGCGGGATGGGTTTCGAGTGAGCGTGCGACTACGACTGAGGGTGCGATACGAGGGTGAGTACGAGTGTGAGTACAAGGATGCGATGGTGAGTACGAGGGGAATGTACTTCATTTGGTTCTCACCGGTGGGGCAGTTCTTTCCGAAGCATCAAACAGCCAAATAACGAAACAACCAAATTCTAGGGGGCCAATCAAATTACAGAAAAACTGTGCCAAGTGTTGTTATTTGATGATTTGATTTGATTGCGTACCGGTGGGGATGCTCTTACACATTAATACACTTTACTGTGTGAGTGTCCGTGCACGAGCAGTTGCCCGTGTCCAAACAACCCAAAACCTCCATTTCACACAACCTCTTCATGCTCCATCATGCTCCCCCCACCACTACCAACAAGCCACAGCCTCCCGACCACCGCCCGTCTTCGATGCTACACATGCCGTCAACCTCAACGCTTACACCGTCGTCAACACCGTCGTCAAGGTTTCGTTTCCTGGCGGAAACGAAGTTTCTAATACCTGACAAAGCGAAAACCACCGCAAATCCGCCGTGCATATCTTGAACTTCATACTACAACGACTGATATCGTATGTGCCTGTTCCGCCTCCAGTTTTGTTTGCTGGTCTCGCTACGCGCGGTCTCTACGTTGGACGACACTATTCCCCGCACACTGACGCAACTGCGCGCGACACATAGAAAAGATGTGCCGGCTACTTTTTTTGCGGAGAGGGGCATCGAGGCGTCGGGTAACTAGAAACAACTTCAAATACATACAAATTTCTCCTGGCACATCATCCCTTACTACATATACCGTGGGTACAACCCCTCCTGTCCTGGCCGGGACATCCCCTTTTGCCCAGTGGTTATTCACACACTCACAATCACACTACTCCAAGAGCTCGTAAAAGTGCAGTCTTGCATAAGAACCAACTTTTACCTGGATCGCAATGTGCCGACCTGAAGTAGAACAGTACCAACGACGTCCCGCAACGGTTGCTAGGCGGATTTCGTCATCTCCTGTCTTGTAGAACACTCCATCTCCCTTTTGCCGAATCCTCAGTTTCCTCTCCAGTTTCCTCTCTAGATCCGCCGCCGTGAGTTTGCCCTCATTCGTATCGATGAACTGGCGCAGATCGCTCTCTTTGAGATACCCAACATCATCGTATTGCTTTTCGCAGACAGCGCTTTGACTCGTCACGGACAGGATTCGCAACGTTCCTCGACCAACTATTGTAGTACCCAACGTCGCTATTCGCGACCCGTCCCGGAACCAAGCAATCTGTATTAGATCTTCACTGTTTGTGCTATACCTTAACATCACCCCTGTCTCAATATCCCATATCGCAAGCTCCTGTCCAATTCCAAGGGCTACGCGTCGTCCGTCGTCAGACCATTCCAGCAGATGGGGCGGTGAATATATATACTTACAATATCGCTTGAGCTGGCACTGGTATTGGTACCGATATATTACACCTGTCTCCCAATTCCAGATCATAACTCCGACTCTCCTTGGTATCCCATTTTCATCAAAATCATCAATTTCAACCATATTATATCCAGTTGACGCGATCCACTTGTCATCTGGAGACCACTTCACCGAAACAGAAGCATAAGAACCATCATGAGGGAACAGAGCCCGCCCAACAGAGAACGGAGCCCGCTCAACAGAGAACGAAACCCGCACACCTTCTTCACCTTCTCTCCAGGGCCGCTTCACAAAGTTGAACCAATCTATGTGAACTTCGTCTGCAAATTCGTCTGAATACCACTCAAGCAGACCTTGGTCCGCAGCCCATTTCAGGCCGACCGAATCTGGGACACGTTCGGGGGCATCGCCCATCGTCTCTTCTGTCTTGGCGCCCCGCAGCACGACCCTGCCATCTGTATGCCCACATGCCACCCTGATCGCCTCTCCCGTTCTGGCGCTTAACAGCACGACCCTGCCGTCGTTATTGCTACCGCCAAGCGCGATCTTCGTGTCGTTTCCAGCCCACGCCATGCACTTGATATGCATGTCGGCGTCTGTGATTCTCTCCCATAACTTGTTCCCAGTCTTCCCGTCCCACAACCCCATCGCATATCCAAACGACACGAGCACCCTCGTCCCATCATTGGACCAACATGCTTTTGCGTAACCACCCTTGGCCCAGGCCTCCCCGCATTCCCACAACTTGTCGCCCGTCTTGCTGTCCCACATCGCAAACGTTCCATCTTTTGCTGCCGAAAACACCCGCTTGCTATCTCTAGACATCTCCAGACAATAAACAGGGCTTACG